AGCCATCATTGTTGTTTGGCGGGCCCGGGCTGGGGATTCGAACCCGCCACCTTAGGTGTATGTGGCTGGTGCCTTAGAGCCACAGGCCCCGAGCCGGGCTTAAGGGATTTTCTTGTCTCAGCCTCCCAAGTAGCTGGGACTACAGGCACCTGCCACAATGCCTGGCTATTTTTTTGGTGTCATTCTCATTGTTGTTTTAGCTGGCCCTGGTCAGCCTCTGTGTATGTGGCCCTACCCACTGAGCTATGGGTGCCACCTAGGCTATTTTTTTGTTATAGTTGTCTTTGTTGTTTAGCAGGACTGGGCCAGGTTCGAACCTGCCAGCCCTGGTGTATGTAGCCTGTGCCCTAACCACTGAGCTATGGGCACTGAGCCCAAACTACTTCTTTTTTTTTTTAATTAAGTCATTCATACATTTATCATAGGTACATTTATGCTATTATAGGATTCAGTGGTTGATTATTTGTACAAATTGGAATGCTTACTTACATTCTACTAAACAATATAGCCTTCAACTTATTTACTCAATTACAGGAGTAAGACATTTATGCTCTACACCTGATAGATCCAACTTGTACTTGCAGTATGCTCCATAGGTGTGATTGCCCTACCAACCCTCTCTCTATCGACCCACCCCTCCCTCCCAACTTCTTTTAGTTAGCAAAATGTTTTATTTTATTTATTTATTTATTTTTTGAGACAGGAGCCTCAAGCTGTCCTCCTGAGTAAAGTGCTGTGACATCACAGCTCACAGCAACCTCCAACTCCTGGGCTCAAGCGAGTCTCCTGCCTTAGCCTCCCGGGTAGCTGGGACCACAGGCGCCCACCACAATGCCCGGTTATTTTTTGGTTGCAGCCGTCATTGTTGTTTGGTGGGCTGGGCTGGATTTGAACCCGCTACCCTGGGTGTACATGGCTGGCGCCTTAGCCACTTGAGCCACAGGCGCCAAGGCAGCAAAATGTTTTAAAGTTCATCCATGGTGTAGCATGTCTTAGTCCTTCTATTTCTTTCTATGCCCAAATGCTGTTCATTTACATAGATATGCCACATTTTATTCGTTTATCAGTTGATAGACATTTGGGTTGTTTCTACTTTTTGATTAATATAAATAATACTGCTATGCACATTTATGTACAACTTTTTATGTGGATATCTATTTTCTTTTCTCTTGGATATATATCTAGAAGTGGAATTACTAAGTCAAATGGTAACTACATTTTACATTTTGAGGAAAACCCATTTCCTAGTGACTAC